TCAGCCCCGCCGGCTCCCCACTCTCACCGCGCGAAGTACCTTAGTGACACCTCCGTGCCGGTGTTCCCTGGCTGCTTTCTGCTCTCCGCGGTCTCTTTGTTACCTGGAAGCCGGCTTCCTGGAATAGAGTCTGGAGCCCCTTGCATTGTCTCAGATGCTAGCAGGAATTACTTTTTTGTCTTACTTCTTAAACCCAGAGGAGAAAAAGGAAGCGAAATCTGGAGCGTGGTGGCAAACTCACTGAGCCAGCACTGCCCAAGCCGGCCCTTCCTGACGCCGCACGGGATATCCGCAGATTAAAATAAATGTTTGTTCAGATGAGGGTTCAAGAAAAGCTGACTTACGTATGAGGTCAACAAGTTTGTGCCAAGTGAATGCGGTGTTTGGGGACAAAGGTTGTGTCTGGTGGTTATAATTGTCCAGACATAAAGTGAAACCATGATGCAAGAACAATAAGAATTCAAAGTGTTCTCGCCTTTCATGGGTTAAATTCACCGCTTTCTAAAGCAGCACATTTCCAAAAAAGATACTAAATCCAGACAAGGGCAAGGAGATGGGGCAGGAGCAAGAATCTCATCTCCCAGGAGAACTTAGGTATAACTCTGGAAGAAAGAGACAGGGAGAGAAGATTCGAGAAGGATGAGGATCTAGGTGGACATAACTGACGGGCTGTCATATGGAGAGGGTTTAATTGCATTCTAATTGCAGAAGGCAGCAGAAACAGGGCAAAGTAGCAAGAGGAAAGTTTCTGCAGAGTGTCGGGCACAACTGCTTTGGGAAGTAGTGATTTCCCAAGACTGAAGGGGATTCAAATCCAGGGGTATGTGGTCGAAGGATTCCTGCCCCCGAGGGAGAACAGCAAAATGATCTTGATGATGTGTCCCTTCCAATGATAAAATCTGTATATTTGTTAATTTACAGGATTACATTTGTGCAAAAAGGGCAATTATTTCACTCAAGGGCCAGAAGTAAGTTCATGTCACCATTAAGCTCTTAAATTACACAACTAAGAGGACTCTACACGATTTTTATTGGAAATATTGTAATAAATATGTATGGTGCCAGGTGTGTACTTTAAATAATGCGGGGACCACTTTGTAAAGTATATAATTGTCTAACCACTATGCTGTACACCTCAAACTTATACAAAATAATATTTAATGTAAACTGTAACTGAAAAATAATAATAAAGATGATTTTTCAAATAATTTATTAAAAAAAATGGAAAGTGGTGCATTGCATTGCTCACTTAGCTATGCTCAAAGCACAAGTAGCGTATTAAGAACTCTGAGACCTCCTTCAACAATAAAATCTCCTTTTCTTTCTTTAATTCAGAATTTCAAATTTTTGTTTTCAGGAATCAAGCCAGAAGATCAGATGTTTGCTGAGCGAACTGGTGAGGGCAGAACTTCTTTGGCAACATGATGCTGGAGGCGGAGCACTAAGAGAATGTTCAGTATCACCATGAGCAAAGAGAAATCACAGATTCAAAACAATAACAAGGGTAGTGAGGGCTTTGACAGGAGAAAATGCACCATTCAGTGCCTGTTGTGTGGAATCAGAAGCATCCAAAAGAGGATTTGTGAAACATGAACAAAAAAATTAAATTAGATTATGACTGAATATACAGTATTCTTTATCTGTTTCTCAGTGGGAGGTTTTGACATTTATTTATGTATTTATAGTTCATTTACAAAAAAGTGATTTTATATAACTGCATAGTAAACTGCTTATTGATTTTCAAAAAAAATTTTTTGCTGGATTCTTAAATATAGTTTGTTGTCTATTTTTTCTTTTGCTTTCAGTGACTTAAGGTGTTTCTTGGAAATTAATGAAAACTCTAAATGGTAAATCTACACCCAACAAGTTGTTACCTCCAAGCATGAACAGAAACATTGATAATGTGTTGGATTTTCCACAAATATAAATGGACTTTAAATAATACAAATTTTATATCATGGAGTTTTTAAAATAAAATTTTATTTATCAGTCATTTGCATCTATGTACTGTCTGTGTATGCACTTTTGCCAACCCTCCATAAGACAATAAATAGGAAAATCGATAATAATCAACTTACTTGAATACCTTACCAAATAATTAGCATAATGTAAGATGCAATTAAGAGGGAGTATTCAAAACCTTAACTACTAATGTGATGTAAGAAATCTCCAAATTAATAATGTTTATAATAGGTTTTTGGGGGGCGTTTTTGAGCCAAAACTGACAATAATTCTCAGGAAGCAAGATCTCAATTGTTTGGAAATAACAGTTGGTAATTTATTTTATGCATTTGAAATTAAGGAGGAATGTTAAGGAAGATTACATGGAGGTGGGAGAAAGCAAGGTGGGAATGAGATTCCAGAATAGTTAGGATTATGCCCCTCCCTTGAGGGTGGTCATGCTTTAGAACAGCGTTTCTCAACCTGTGGGTTGCGACCCCTTTGGGGGTCGAACAACCCTTTCACAGGGGTCGCCTAAGACCATCGGAAAACACATATCTAATTACATATTGTTTTTGTGATTAATCACTATGCTTTAATTATGTTCAATTTGTAACAATAAAATTGGGGATCACCACAACATGAGGAACTGTATTAAAGAGTCGCGGCATTAGGAAGGTTGGGAACCACTGCTTTAGAAGGAGGCATCTAAAAAAAGAGGCAGCTCAAAAGTGTGTTAATCTAGATACACAGAAACAATGAACAGGGCTTGCTTAAGGCAAATAAGCCTTTTATTAAAGACTAGAGGTCCAGTGCATGAAATTCAGGGGAGGGCATCCCTCAGCTCAGCCTGCGCCTTCTTGCAGTCCGGGAGCCATTGGGGGATGTCTGACTACAGGAAGCAGGCCCAAGCCAGCAGTCGGACATCCTTAGCACTGCCGCTGTGCTCACCAGCCATGAGCCCAGCTTCTGGCTGAGCAGCACTCCCTCTGTGGGAGCATACTGACTATCAGGGGACAGCTCCTGCATTGAAAGTCTGCCCCCTGGTGGTCAGTGCACATTATAACAACTGGACATTCCGCCATTCGGTCGATTTGCATATCAGCCTTTTATTACATAAGAAGCTATAGGCTGGAGTACGTGACTACACACCAACCTGTCCAGTTAGGAATTTAAGATCTTCCATGGAACTCTTTTTTCATCTACACTAATTACTAAATTACTGTTGTTACTAACTACCAAATTGGTAAGACTAATTTCTAGATAATCTACTCTAATGAAATATGATCACCAAAGTACTAGTCAGATAATGTAGGGCCCAAAATATGGCATTCTATCAGCAATATCATTACTGAAGAAAAAGACTTCTAATTTAAAGTATAAGGTGTAACTGTATACACTACACGTTTTCTCAGAAATTCAACTTAAAGATCAAATGATTTTAAACGATAATAATGAAGAGTTCACTGGCCAGGATATTGAAAGATATCCATCTTTTTCTGCTATGTCACCTGGGAAACCTGGGAAAGTCATTTGACCTAACCAGAATGCCATTCCCTTAACTATGAAAGAAGAAAACTGGGTGAGAAGAACAAATATCCCAGCCTTTTTATTTCTAAACTAGTGGCCCAGTGCACGAAATTCGTGCACAAGGATGGGGGGGGGGGGTACCTCAGCCCAGCCTGCACCCTATCTAATCGGAGACCCCTTGGGGGATGTCCAACAACCAGAAGTTGGAAATCCCTCTTGCAATCTGGGACCACTGGCTCCTAACCGCTCACCTGCCTGCCTGCCTGATTGCCCCTAACCCCTCTGCCTGCCTGCCTGATCACCCCTAACTGCTTCTGCCTGCCTGATCGCCCCCAACTGCCCTCCCCTGCAGACCTGATCTCACCCCAACTGCCCTCCCCTGCCGACCTGATTGCCCCTAACCCCCTGCTGGCCTGATCTTGCCCCCAACTGTCCTCCCCTGATGGCTCCTAACTGCCTCTGCCTCAGCCCCCACCACC